AAAATCACTTGAAAACTGACTCAATACGTAAAAACAAGTTTAAAACACTAAACTAGACTCAAAGAATGCAAAACTAAACTTTAAAACACCAAAACAAACCAAAAGACTCAAAACAGCCCAAAAACACTCAAAACTGCCTTAAAACCACAATCTGGGCAGTTTTGAACACTAGACACAAACTTGGACGAAAATTGGTTTTAACTTGACCTAAGACACTTAAAAACACAAACGAAAGTGATGTCTAACTATTATGACTCAACTAAGAAAAGGGGGATTGATTTTGGACGAATTTAACTTTGAAAACAGAAACTTTGAAAACAAACTTTGACAAAAACGTTTTGATGAAAATTAAGATGGTGAAAGGCTAGTTAGAAGGTTCCTTCTCCACACATGAAACATATGCATACGACTCGATTTCCAATTACTCTTTCAATAAACCATGAATGACAATGCCCCAAATTAACTAGATTGACCAATTAATTCTCAGATTTCCCTAGATTCATTGAATTGAATGGGATACGCATTACAACCAAATTATTCTTATCAAGGACCCTAACTATGGAATACGCATGATAGAGACACATATAAAAGATCATTAAGTTCAATGGAAATCATAAGCATTGACGAGGCATTCATAACTATGGGATACGCATGTTACTCTTGCCTAGGATTTACTTAACACAATCGTGACTAGCGACTTTTACTACTTATGAATATAAGTTAATAACGATTAGGTGAAATTTCCTTATACTCTAGCATCAAATTCATGCATGCGAACTAAGTATGCATCCTTAATTAACATACAAGAACAAGTTATCAATCAAATAGATAAGTAAACCACATTCACGATTCATGAAATCATAATTGGAAGACATCAAGTCATATAAAACATATGATCATGGCTTTGAATTCCCCTCTAACTATAAAGAAATTAGTTCCTCATGTTCGCAAATAAACAAAGATAAATAAATTTAAACATTGAAACAAAGATAGAAAACACCTAGAAACGCTCCGACAATCCAACGTCTTGAATGGTATACACGACTCCAAGTTGTCTTCCTTCTTCTCCTTGCAAACTCACGGCACAATGAGGGATGATTGGTGAATGGTGTAGTGAAAATCTGGTAGAGGGTGGTGAGGTAAAGGGTGCGGCAATAGGTTGTATATATAGGCTGAAAATCCCATCTCCTAGGTAGCAAAGGACAAGGTTTTAAAGGCCTAAATTGCATAGGATAATAACATCCAATCCTATAAGGAAAACAAGTTAAAAACCCAAAGGGATTGGGAGATAATGTGCAGCACAAAGAGTGTGAAAAGATAAGGCTTCTAGAAACCAAAAATCCCAAGGGAAATAGGTATTAGGTGCAGCAAGGATCTAGGGTTCTAGAAGATAATGCAAGGCAGATTTTTAGGCTTCTAGAAAGGTTCCTAGGTGTCATCTTTGTAGGATAAGATAAGGTCTTCTAGAAATCCCAATTTAAGCATCCTAATCTAATTAGAAAACCCTCCTAAATGGCTGGAATGTGGATAGTTTAGGATTAGGATAAGATAGGATAAGATAAGGTTTATTTGGATAAGATAAGCTAAGATAAGGTTATGGATGAGGTTTTGGATAAGATACCTTATCTTGAGCTGATTCATTGGCTTTAATTCTTCTTCTTCATGTAGGAAACCTTGCTTGAGTAGGAAACTTCATTCATCTAGGAATCCATCTTCAATTAGGACTCCTACATTGATTAGGAATCCTTCTTCATTTTGGAATTCTTCGTTTAAGCTCTTTCCTTCTTCAACTAGGAAACTTTGTATCTTCAATTCTTCAACTTTGAAACGCCTTCCTAGCTTCATCAATTCCTCAAATTCGTCCATCCATTGTGCTTCATGTGCATGAACTTCATTCTAGCCCAATTTTGCTCCAAAATGCTCCAAATTGCATCCTTTTGCTCACTTTGTCTCTAAAACCTGAAAACACATGAAAATAGCTTAAAAGACTAACTTAACTAAGAAAACATAACATAAATGCATAAGAACTATCTAACTAAAGCACATAAATATGCTCCTATCAGGAACTTGGAGAACCATTTCATCCATCCAAATCCATAGATCTAAGATGCAAGGAATGAAGGCCCTCTCATTGGGTGATTAGCCTTTGCTTATGCAAAGAGGAATCTACAAAGGTATAATTTCACAACTAACAAATGTTGTTTTAAGTTGAGTCAAGGTTCACCAATCTACTAGGCTTTGAATTTCATGGGTAATGTTTTGTTTTTGAGTGCATACAAGCATGATTCCGCTTTTTAATTGTTAATTGCATGCTATAGATGTTGCTTAAATGAACATGTTTTTCACTATATTTCCTTCACTTGGAGGAGTGATGCGAAAATTAACTTAACACACAAATTTAACCCTCTTTTGACAATTGTAGTATAAGTATAAGTAGGGATCGTTCTAGACCAGGGATTAGGAGGGCTTGCTAATAACCTCTAAACTGACTCAAAAACATAAAACTAAATTTAAAAACACTTAACAAGACTCACAAGACTCAAAGCAAACTAAAAATACTCAAAACAGCTTAAAACAACCAAATAAACTTAAACTAGACACTATGAATGACTTTGGACGAAAATTGACTTTTACTTGAATCAAAACATTTAAAAACACAAATTAAAACATATTCTGACTAATTAGACACACTAAAGTAAAGGGGGAGTGAGTTTTGGACGAAGTTGAAACAAACAAACAAGTATGAAAAAACTAGATAGATTGATTGTAAACACAATTTGAGAAATAAGATGATGGATGGGATAGCTAGAGGTTTTTTCTCCACACATGATATGTATGCAAACAACTCGATTTCCAGTTACTACTTCATTGAATTATGAAGGACAATGCTCCAAATTAACCGTGACATCACTAGTTAACTCTTAGATTTTCCTTGTTTTATTGGATTGGATGACATCATTCGAGAACCCCAAAAACATTCTTCTAAAGTTAAGTTCCCTACATGACATCATAATAGAGATACAATCAAAGATCGTTACATTTAATGAAAATCATAAGCATTGACAAAGCACTTGCAACTATGACATCATGTCACTCATGCTAGGAATTGAACTTAATGCGATCGTTTATAAGCGACCTTCACTACATGTGAATATAAGTTTGTAACGATTATGTGAAACTTCCTTATAATCTAGCAACAGATTTATGCATGCCAATTAAGTGTCGACCCTTAATTAACAAATACAAATAAGTTATCAATCAAATAGTTAAGCCAATTGCATTCACGATTCAAGAGTTCATAACTGGAATTTATCAAATTATATTGCACACATAATCATGGCTTTGCTTTGAAATCACCCCTAGCCAAGAGGGGTTTAGCCACTCATATTTACAACAAAACGAAAGGAAATGAATTTAAACATTAGAAACAAAAGAAAGAAAACACCTAAATGCTCCAACGATCCAAGTTGGACAACAAGCACGTCCAAGCACTTTCTTTCCCTTTGCCTTTGCTTGTGTTTGGCACAATTGTGTTGGAGGAATGAGTGTGTTTGAAATGGTTTGAATGTTGTTGAATGGATAATGAACATCAAGATGAATGGATGTGTTTGTTTGGTGAAGGTTTGTGTTGAGCAAATGGATGTGCAATGATCTAACCAAGTATCAACTAATGCATTTATGTTACACAAGACTTCCTTTTTTATTAGAGGAAGTGCATCATGAAATGATGGATGGGGGAACATGGAGTGGTGAGTAGCAATTGAGTGCAATGATGCATGATGATTGAAATGAAATGATGGAGGGAACAAGGAATGGTGTAGCTAGCAATTGAGTGCAATGATTCAATGTAATGATGCATAAAATCTGAAATGATGGAAGGAACAAGGAATGGTGTAGCAATTGATTCAATGTAATGAGGCATGAATCTGAAATGATGGAGGGAACAAGGAATGGTGTAGCAATTGAGTGCAATGATTCAATGTAATGATGCTTGAAATCTGAAATGATGGAGGGAACAAGGAATGGTGTAGCAATTGAGTGCAATGAGTGGTGTTTGAAATGATTCAAAGGTGAAAGTGAAGTGATGATGCAAAGCATGGGGGTAAAATGGAGTGGTGTTGCAGCTAGGGAACATGAATGATTGTGCACATGGTAGAGAAAGGAAAGGGAGGTGGAATGATGCAACAAATGAGTCAATGGAGGGAACATGGATGATGATGCACGGCATAGGAATCCAAAAAGAGTGCAATGGTGGTGCATGTCAATGATGGAAAGGTGAATGGTGGAGTGACACCCCTTTGTGGCTTAGCTCTTTGTCCTTTTTACATTAATTTTTCTTTCTCTTTAACACATTCCTAGCCTCTTTAGTCTTCAATTTCGTCCATCCACCTTGCTCCATGCATGTGTTATTCATTCCAAGCCCAAAACTGCTCCAAAATGCACCAAAATGCATCTTATTGCTTCATAAGGCCTATGGACCTACAAACACACGAAAATAGCTTAAAATACATAATTAACTAAGAAATAACAACATAAATGCATGAGAACAAGCTAACTTAGTCGCATAAATATGCTCCTATCAAGGAGTAAGAAATAAAAGGTGGTGTCTAGGTCTTTTGTGGAGGCCGAGCTTAGAGGCACGGCGCATGGAGTGTGTGAAGTCCTTTAGTTGCATAAGTTGTTTTGGGGTCTTGGTTTCAAACAAAAAGAGGCAACGAATCTATACTGTGACAATAAATCGGCAAGAGAGATCGCAGAGAATCCGGCATGAGAGAACGAAGCATGTGGAGGTTGATCAACACTTCATTAAGGAAAAGCTAGAGAAGAAGATTGTGTCACTACTGTTTGTGAACTCGGAAGAACAACTTGCAGATATTCTCACTTATGCCGTGTGTAGGTTTTTGGTAACTCACTTATCAAGTTGGGTATGTGTGACATTTATGCTCCAACTTGAGAGGGAGTATTGGCATGAGTAATCTTTAGGGAAATAGGAATGTAAATATTGTGTAAATATTAGAGTCCTTTATTAGGAAGGATATTTCTTTGTGTCCTTTTTTGTTTCCTTGGAGAACAAGGACTGTATGTACTTATATATCAAATTATGCAATACATGAGAATTAAGCCGTAAAATTCTATTAGTACTGCTCGGGATAAAAGGTGATCTCATTGATGCCTCAGGCTGACTAACTCAATATCGAACACGAGAGTCCCCAATGTTGATCCTTCTCCATTAGCAAGACGAGTTGGATTAAAAATGGTTGTAAACAGTCTCTGTCTGTCAAAAATCTGAGGAAAGACAAAGAAAACAAACCCTCAGAGTTGAGTAACAAGGGTGGAATTAGGTTGGAATCGTTGGATTTTAATCGCAGTACAAAGTAGGCAAGTCGTTGTTTATCTATCCATCTACTCATTCAAAGTTACATGTATGACATATATGATGTGTCAAGTATATCACACACACACAGAGATAGCAGACTATTAAAACAAACAAGCAAAAGGTCTTCTGAGTGGCGTAAGTAGTCTCTATTTTGTTCGATTAAGATGGGTATACATCTGTTTAAGAATAAATTTACCAAGAGAACAGACTAAAAGAAATAATCTTGAAGATGCAGAGGAATTACATTAGGTGGTATAGGTTCTTGTGACGTGCTCTGATACCCTTGGGATGGCGGTATAACAACCCGACGAACACCACCCACTTTCATAGATTTAACTGCTGTTTCAATCCCTGAAATGACCTGAACAAGCTTGTCAAAGATCAACACATTTATCTGCACAAGTCTGTAGTAGAAACTGAAGCACAGTACAATATCCAATAGATGTAGACCGATAACAACTACTAACAAAATAGAATATGTCAACGAAACTTCCCTTCGGGCTTCCTGATTTACAGGATTTCCCAAATTCAAGAGACCTACTTATTTTAATCTTATATGAAATATCAAATCACATGAATGAATATAAGCTGCAGCACTGAAACAACTCTATTAATTGTTAAGATCACAGTGGAGATTAATCTGACAGATAAATATAATCCAAAGGTGGTAGTAATACTAACACAAGGATATCATATTGACATGACGAGGACTTACTTTGCCGGACCCAATCACGAACACAAAAGGAATTGGTTCACCATTTTCATCTTTATGATCATATGTCGAATCAAATCGCCATCCTTGTTTTGCTGCCAATCTTCCATAGTAATGAACAGAAACCTTCACAATCAAAGTGTAAACATTTAGATGGATAATTGGATATGCACATTCCGTTCCAATCACTGCTAAAGGCCTTCAGATTATCCTAGTATCCAATCCAAAACTTGTGAAAAGGACCACAAGTGCAGCACAGAACATAATTGGAGAACAAGAGCAACTATTATTAGACTACATTGACTAAAAATAAATTCGTGGTATAAGGAAATATTGCTACGATTATAGCCCAAATAAGAAATATTTAAAGACAAAATGTGCAGATTGTCATTGCCATACAGCCACATACGCAACATCCCCTTATCTCAGTGTTATAACCTTATAAGTATACACACATTCACGCCTGCACATATTATGGATAAGGGAGAGAAAAATAACCTGGTCGCCATCGGCGGGTACTTGACCATCACCAAGGCGAAGGTCCAGAGCCTTGACCCCGCCGGAGTTTGGAAGCTCTGAGAATTCGGGTATGGTGGCGGACTTTGAAGGAGGTGTCAGCGTGAATAATGTGGTGGAGATTAAAGTAGTGGATAATGCTCCCCTTCTAGTTGTGATTAACGATGATGGGGTTGGAGAGGTGACGTTGGGATGAACTAAACGAACGGTTGGATGGTGGGGAACATGGAAGCATTGTAGTGGCGCGAAGCACGTGTAAATCATATTTCTTGTTCAGATTTCAGATGTATGGTATGGGGATCCTCTTTATTTTATGGTTTTGTTTGCAAAGTGTTGGTATTTTTCAAATACATTTATGCCCTCAGCCCTTTTTTATTTTATTTTTAATAAATGGTATTATCTATACCAAGGAATATTGAAGTGAACTTAGTCTCATAATAGATTAGTAATAGAGTGGTTTAAATTCGCATTTCGTGCCACTTGAACCTAAGATCTCTTACAAATGAAGAGAAATATCACTAAATCGTAATACTAAGTGGCAATTTATATATAATTTTTCTTTTAATATAGCGATTTATTTATAACCAACTTTAATGGTAACTACGGGGCACAGCCGGGTCGGATCCAAATTTAAAGGGACTAGGCCGGGCCCGTTTTAAAGTTTCGTCAACCAAATTCTTGGTTAGAATAGGAACAAATCAACTAGGAACTTGAGAGTTCAAATTGAATTGCTAAATTAATAAGAGGAAACATAAAATATTAAGAAAATCATCCATTCTTCATATTATTATACCTGTCAATTTCTTACAAAACTCATTTACACAACACGTAAATGACACGAAAATAATAGATTTTGAGTCAATACGATACGAACCTGTTAATGACAGGACTTGAGCAGGTTTACACAAGGGTGACACGCACGTAGCCCGTTAAGAAAAAAGTTATTTTGATGATTTTAATTTTTCAAACTACTAAAAAAACTTACCATAAAATACAATAGTTATAGTGTATATGTATGTATTGTATATTTAATATATATTATTGTATTATTATCCTATACAAATTAAAAAATTTAAGTTTTATTTATTTATTTATTTTTATAAGTATACTATAGGCAAAGAATGAGATTAAAAAATTATAACGCACATTAGAAATAAAAACATACATGTCGTCATGAATAGTATTTTGAAGGAAGTTCAAAATAAATAAAATTCATAATCATTAACAAGTCTGAAAAATGTGAAATCATATATAAATGCTCGTGAATGCATCTTTTATGCTTAGAGGATGGTTAGATGGTCGTTTAGATTTTTAAAACCCTCCAAATCTTATGAATAATATTTTTTTATTTGAGTGCAAAATTAATAAAATTAATAATAATTATTGTGACAGCTCGTCTCGAAAAATAATCTATTTTTATCTTTGATTGCGTGGAATGACGATTATACCCTTGAGTGTTGAGTTGTGTGTGTGTAAATGGGCTATGGATTTGGACCAATCCATTTTCTTCCTAAGTATTTGGACCCAATTAGAACTTAGGTTTATGTTGTTTTTGTTTGGTAGTCCACACTGGACCACACACACACCCTCACTCTTCCATTGACTCTCTCTCTCTCTCTCTTCTCTCTCGGATTTCCTCCATTGTCCGTACAACTTATACGGTCAACTCGTGAAACTATCCTTTTAGGCACAGATCGAGGTTACAAACGCCATCATCACCTTGCTTGTAACCCTACGAACTCATGCATACTTTTGGTTGGATGTGAGGACGTCGGGAACTCGAGAACCCAGAAGCTTCGAGGAGGTGCAAGGTTTACTCGACGTGATCGCGAGTGTTTCTTAAAATTTTTAAGCTTTTTGGAGGTCTTAAATCGTCTTCACGAAGCTTACAGAGGAGTTTTGGAAGGTTTTGGACGTCAAAACACTCAAGTTCGTCGAGTTGCAGGGGTGCCCAGACTATCGAGATTTTTCCGGTGAGATTCCATTGGTTTTAGGTCCAAAACGTGGTAAGGATGTGTTCTTCTCATCCTAAGCTTCAAATTGGTGCAAATTTTATGAATTTTGGTTGAGAAATGGATGAGTTATTAAGGTTTGAAGTTTTCCAGAATCGGGCGATAGCAGCTGTAACTGCGCCAAACTCCGGTGAACCAAGGAAGAAGGAGGAGAATATTCCGTCAAAGTTGATAAAATATGCTAACAGCTTCAAGTGAGACCTATCCAGAGGAATAGCGCAGTCAAGCAAGACTTGGGGGCTACGACCCTTCCACATATCAATGAGTGGGCTTTTGGTTTTCAATATATATATACACTTGGTATTTTTCCCAGAAAGCTTAATTAAATGGTTTTATATTTTGAAATGACATGTCAAATGCTCTCTATGTTTGATTATGCATTAGTATGGTTATATATATTGTTGCTTGGCGCTGCGGACGCTCAGGTAAACTTCAGGTGAGTATATTAATGGTAGTGATGGTAGTGAGTAATTGTGTTGAGATGCATATAGAGATTGTTATCCTGCACCTCGGTGTTAGTGCTCCGCTATAGGGTAGGGCCTAGCTTTCACGTGATCCTTCACCTCCTGCACCACACGCTCACATTGGATCCAAGACAGGTGCCAGCCTGTCGTACATACCACACTAGGTGGTTTTGACTCATAGGTGACTTGCAATACTTCATACATCCTTCATGTGATCATAGCACTTGAGCGTATTTATTTACACCCAGCCTGTCATACAGACCACATTAAGTGGTTCTGACTCATGTGCAGGATTTGATTGATGAGTTATGGACCCAGCCGTACAGGTCACTTTGGGTGACTCCGGCTGGCATTCTATTTCATATTGGTTTAATTCACCTAGCTTACTTATTTTTGTACTGAGATTTGACATGGTATATTTGTGGAATTGTTATTTCGAATATGGTTTTGTATAAACATGTATGTTATTTTCTGGGAATTATACAGGTTTTACGGCGAGGGGTTACTACTTTTGATAAGTGAAATGGTTTTGAAAAGCTTTGTTTTTGCCCACTCACACTTTATGTTTTGCGCCCCTCCAGGTTTTAGGTAAAAGTGCTTGTCGATGGCTTACGAGGATTTGACGGAGGTTCCGACAGATTATCACCAATGTAGGATCATGTTTGGTATTGTATAATTAGTATTTGTCCTGCTGGACTACACTTAGGATACCTACGCTCTGGTTATGTGTAGTCACACTTATTCTCGTCTTTCACCTTATCTTATCTAGTGTTTTAGTTAGTTGGTTTTTATTTATTCTACTTTCTTTATATCGTCATTCTTCCGCATTGCACACATGGCTACATCACCCTCACGTGACGGCCAGCATGCCTCGATTTAGGTCGGGGTGTGTTAGTTTGGTATCAGAGCCTAGGTTTTGCAGTCCTGCATATCTTGTGAATGTTCTAATTATCTTGGTGTCTTCTGTCAGAACTATGTCGCCTCGTAAAGAGCCACGTCCTTCAGTTGAGTCTAGTTTTCCTGATATTGCTCAGTTAGGGAAAGCTATAGCTAATGTTATTCCGCCTTCATTTCATCCTCCCCAAAGGACTTCTCTGGAAACTGTGTATAATCTGAAGTTGAATCATTTCATGGGTAATGAAGGGTCTGAATGAGTAGAGAAATGGCTTAATGATGCGAAAATTAACTTAACACACAAATTTAACCCTTTTTTGACAACTGTAGTATAAGTATAAGTAGGGATCGTTCTGGACAGGGGATTAGGAGGGCTTGCTAATAACCTCTAAACTGACTCAAAAACATAAAACTAAACTTAAAAATACTTAACAAGACTCATAAGACTCAAAGCAAACTTAAAATACTCAAAATAGCTTAAAACAACTAAATAAACTTAAACTAAACTTTGGACGAAAATTGACTTTTACTTGAATCAAAACATTTAAAAACACAGATTAAAACAGATTCTAACTAATTAGACACACTAAAGTAAAGGGTGATTGAGTTTTGGACGAAGTTGAAACAAACAAACAAGTATGAAAAACTAGACAGATTGTAAAACAAATTCGAGAAATAAGATGATGGATGGGATAGCTAGAGGTTTTTTCTCCACACATGACATGTATGCAAATAACTCGATTTCCAGTTACTACTTCATTGAATTATGAATGACAATGCTCCAAATTAACCGTGACATCACAAGTTAACTCTCAGATTTTCCTTGTTTGATTGGATTGGATGACATCATTCGACAACCCAAAACATTCTTCAAAAGTTCCCTACATGACATCATAATAGAGATACAATCAAAGATCATTATGTTTAATGAAAATCGTAAGCATTGACACAGCACTTGCAACTATGACATCATGTCACCCATGCTAGGAATTGAACTTAACGCAATGGTTTGTAAGCGACCTCCACTACTTATGAATATAAGTTGTAACGATTATGTGAAACTTTCTTATATTCTAGCATCGGATTTATGCATGCCAATTAAGTGTCGACCCTTAATCAACAAATATAAATAAGTTATCAATCAAATAGTTAAGCCAATTGCATTAACGATTCAAGAGTTCATAACTGGAATTTATCAAATTATATTGCACACATAGTCATGGCTTTGAAATCACGCCTATCCAAGAGGGGTTTAGCCACTCATATTTACAACAAAACGAAAGGAAATGAATTTAAACATTAGAAACAAAAGAAAGAAAACACCTAAACGCTCCAACGATCCAAGTTGGACAGCAAGCGCATCCAAGCACTTTCCTTCCCTTCCTTTGCTACGGCACAAGGTGTTGGTGAGTGTTTGAAGGTTTGTTTGTATGGAAGAATGGATGTGAAGATGAATGGATGTGTTTGGATGAAGATTGTGTTGAAATGGGAGTGAATGATCTAACCAATATGAACTAAATTTATGTTACACACACTTCCTTTTATAGAGGAAGTGCATGGCAATGGAGGGGAACATGGAGTAGTGTAGCAATTGAGTGCAATGATGCATGAAATTTGAAATGATGGAGGGAACAAGGAATGGTGTAGCAATTGAGTGCAATGATTCAATGTAATGATGCATGAATCTGAAATGATGGAGGGAACAAGGAATGTTGTAGCAATTGAGTGCAATGAGTGGTGTTTGAAATGATTCAAAGGTGAAAGTGAAGTGATGATGCAAAGCATGGGGGTAAAATGGAGTGGTGTTGCAGCTAGGGAACATGAATGATTGTGCACATGGTAGAGAAAGGAAAGGGAGGTGGAATGATGCAACAAATGAGTCCATGGAGGGAACATGGATGATGATGCACGGCATAGGAATCCAAAGGGA